GTTCCCTTTCCCGCTTGAGTTGTTCGCCGCCCTGAGTCCCTTTTGGGAATAGGACGGCATATAAATAAAACAAACCTCAAACCTTCCCCACCTAGTTGAAAGTTCAAGATCTTCCCCACACCCACAATTCCATCACATGATTCAATCTTCCCTGCCATGCTGGCAGTTCCACCCATCCAGTTCCAATCAGGTGCAAAGGTGCAGAGACAAAGGATGACTTTGGCTTTCTAGAAAGAATTTTATTTTGGCTACACAATAAGTAACTCCATACAATCCCCCTCCCATTTTCCCACAATAGAAAAAGGTATAGTAGAATAATATAAAGTGTGGTAAGCCAAAGATGCAAAAGAAAGATGGTTGCAGGCCTGACAGACTCAGTCGAAAACTGGCGAAGTATACCCAAGAGACGTTGCTACAAAGATTTGATTGACTCAGTCTAACGAGCAGGAAGGCAGAGTTAACCCATTCCTTGGATTCTCCTCAGCACACTCGGAAAAAGGTGGTTATGTTCTCAGTCAAGGAAGGAAAATTGAACAGCTGTTCGAGAGATATAACATGAAGGATTGTAATTCTGCTCCAACACCTATGAATACAGATTTTCCTAACAGTTTGGGTGAGGACAAAAGTGAAGCCTGTGATCAAGAGATATATCAGTCAGTAATAGGGAGTCTGTTATATCTGTCACAGTGGTCCAGACAGGACATAGCTTGTGCAGTAAGCATCCTAAGTCGCTTTACTGCTGCACCAGTGCAATTGCATTGGATGGATATAAAAAGGATTCTCAGGTATTTGAATGAAACTTTGAACTTGGGTCTTCATAGGTATCTGAATAATTGAAATTGAAATGTTGTTAACAGTGATTATGCCAATGATGTAAAAGCCCAAAAGTCTAATTCTGGGATTGTGATATTGTTTGGAGGGGCTTTAATTGGTTGGAAGTGCAGAAAACAAACTACTGTAGCCATTTCCACTGTGAAGGCCGAATTTATAACTCTATCTGAACTTCATGCAGAGGTGACTTGGTACATACCGCTGTTACAGGATTTAAGCATGAAGGTAAATGATGCAGTTACAGTGTATGAGGATAATGTTGCTTGCATTAAAATGGCAACAGGTAAAGAATAGAAGCAAGCATGTGGACATTAAATATTGTAATGTCAGGGAAGCCATAAAATGTAAATTACCATATTTTTCAGAGTATAAGATGCTTCGGAGTATAAGATACACCTTAGTTTTTGGGGAAGAAAATAAGAAAAAAAATTCTGCCTCTGCCTACCAGTATCTTTCTGTATTCATCTGACTACTATCCTTAGAAAACAGCCTGGTCAGCTTCAGCATATTAGTTCGATGGTTGTGAGATCGCACTTGCAGAGGCCTAAAACGTGATGCACAGAGGTCAAAAACACAATGTGTGGAGGCAGCAATTGGCAGGGATGTGCTCTGGCGATCCCCACAGTATTGAACAGGTCTCAAATGGAGCACTCAGAGGCTAAAAATGTGATGCACAGAAGCCAAGAACACAAGCCACATATGGGGTAATGGTGTGTAGCAATCCCTGCAGCCTGGAACAGGTGTAAAATGCAACATGCAGAGGCCAAAGGCTGGGGGCTAAGGGGTAGGTGAGGCAACATTTGGTATATAAGACGCACCCAAATTTTTACTTTCTTTTAGGGGGGAAGTGTGTCTTATACCCAGAAAAGTACAGTAATCAACTTGTTCACTATTCTTCTGAGGACAATCTGACTGGTATAATGACCAAGCCATTGGGTGGAGTGTACCACAAGAAGAACATTAAGTTAGTTTTATTTCTATTACAGTTATGAAGGGAGGAGTGTCAGAGGATGTTTATAGACTGGAATACACATGGCAACGGATCAGCCAATGGGGACTGTTTTGATAGACGTGGTTAGAGGTCAGCTAATGGGGACTGTTTGGAAACTGAAACATAGCATTTGTTTTTATGGGGCCATAAGAGACAGTTTGAAGTCTGGGAGTGGCTTAGACTTACTGAACTGTACTGAATCCAAAAGGTCATTTGCTTGTTTGTGCTTGCTAGATGTGCTGCTGAAACAAAACTCTGACACATCTTTCATATATATTAGTCCATATTTTTCAATAAACAGTTGCTCAATCTGATTTAAGCATTAGTCACAATGTTGGTTTACTCCCTTCACATTATCCACAAATAGACTAAATGAAGCTCAAAATTATAAACTGTCTGCTTCAAATCTGCAACATTCCCATGTAATCCTTAAAAATAATAATAAAAACTGAAATAACTGATACAAAAAATTGTCATTAATTTAAAAGCAGAAATAAAAGAACCTAAGTAGTTCCATGGTTCTGCCTCTTTCCCCCTAACCCCAGCCATAGAAAAAAGTTAAAAAGATTGTGTAAGGCAGGGATCTCCAACCCCAGTCCATGGACCAGTACCAGGCCCAGAAACTGGGCCACGCAAACAAGCAAAGCAGGGATGCAGGCAGCATACAAAATCATATGAATCAATCCCTGTTGCCCAAAAGGTTGGGGGGTCACTGGTGTAAAGCATTTAAATATAGCAAATTGCAATGTTGCTGTCAATGGAAGCAAAGTATTAGTTTCCTATGCTTACGTTGTATGGATGATCTACTTGCAAGCTTAACTCCAGAGGCTGCGAGTTTTGAATCCCAAGGAAGTTGAAGAGTCAAAATAGCATCACCTTGTGCCTTTACCCGTGACACTGAACCATTTCTGCAGAAGGTTCCAATTTGGACTCTATCTTTTCCCAGACGACTGCTAATGTTGTAAATAATTTGATCAGGGCAGGTGTCTCCAGGCAGAATTTGCCTTAACCATGGAGAGAATTTCAGTTCAAGTCCAACTCTTCGGTTAGCTTTAGCCTCCCAAATGAAAGTCCTATTAAGATGTGGCAACCCTGGAGGCTGAAGCTGAATATCTCCAAAAGGACATTGACCTGACAGACAATCTAGAAACAGAGAAATGTGTAAGACTCATACTCAAATCTGAAATGGCTATAATAAATCATATTGATTTGGTCTATGTTTTTTACTCTTCCTTCTGTTCACACTACCAGAATATTCTATCAACAATCCATAACTAAGCTCATAAAGTTCCTATATATACATAAGCTGTTTTTAACTATAGGATAGTAGTCTTACTCAGACCTAAGTCAACAATAAATTATATGGGAATTCTGGGAGTTATAATCCAACATAGCAAGCTACCAAATTTAGTAAGTATGCTTAGAATTGTATTCTATACATTTTCCCCTCAAGTGTCATTATTACACTTTGAGGGCAAAGATATATACCAGACCATCCATTTTTAAGTGGCAGCCTTAGCCTCTGCCTTGTTCAGGCAGTACTCAAGAAAGCCCACTATAGAATTTTTTACTCATTTATTTGGGGGAGGGGATGTCTCATTAAATAAAAAAGTTCAAAGATTGTTATATTATTAAAAAAGGTAAGAAAAGCTGAAGTGTAAACTTCAGATTCTTTTAAAACATTAAGCAAGAAAAATACATTTTAACCCATTTCACTGATGTGGTTGTACAAATTCATTTAGACTTCTGACAGTTAGTAAATAATCCAGTGCTTTAAAAAGCTCTCAGTAATTTTAGTTGCAGTTCATGTAACATTGCTTACCAATATTTTTCTCCACAAGTATGGACCAATATTTCTCTGGTGTGGAACAATCAAAGGTAAATTGAAACTTCTGTCCAGGCTCTATGATTTTCTCCAAAAAATGAGGGTTTTTTCCTTCACGCAGTGCACAGGTATTTAGAAAAGAAAATCCAGGTTTTATTTTAACTGTTATGTTTCCACCCAGAGGAAGAGAAATTTCAAAAGCACCTAAGATTAAAGAGAGAAAAGATATGGACCTCTGGCATTTTAAAACCTAGGCATATATTATCGTATCAGCTTTCATGCAATAATACAATCATCTTCATCTGATGAAGTAGATGTACGTGATCAGTTAGAGTTAGACTACTAAGATACTTTAGAACTCTTGTTACTATGTATTGAGGGAGAGGGAAAGGAGGGAAGATAATATCCCTCCCTTGTGTGTGTGTGTGTGTGTGTGTGTCTGTGTGTGTGTGTGTGTGTGTTCGTAGATTTTCACAGGTGTAGGTATGCTGGTCTTGTTGTATTCTGGTCTTTTCCTGTGTAAGATTTTAAAATCTTACATAGGAAAAGACC